GTGGCTGTCACGAAATGAATGTGCTGTAAAAGTGAGCTGTTATTATTATGGATATTGTCACTCGCTCTGCTTGACCAACATTCCATGGGTGACCTGGAGTTGGGGCTTGACAGAGAGACCCTTTGAGACCAAACTATTTTTTTCCTCCCATTCCCCAGGGGAGCTACTCCAGGCAGACCAGACTCTGGGGGTGGGTCTTCTGCTTGCCTACTGCCCTGCCTGGGAGGCCTGTGAGGCTGAGGTTGTCTCCTTCTGTCCGGGGAACAGGCTGGAGTTGACAGCAAGGAGGGTGGGGAAGAAAACCCAGGGAAGGAGGCTCTGGCCTGGAGCCCTTTCACTGATGAGGGTGACAAGCTGCCTGCCGCAGGCACTGTCCTCAGGATAGGACTGGGGGCTGCCAGGGATGGGTTGTTCTCAGCCAGGAGGAACCTGGGAGTTGGCAGGAGAAGAGGAAAAGGAGATGCCTGTGGTCATGACCCTGGCCCGGTGCCTGGGCGTCTTCCTTCCTACACGCGGTGGCTGTCCCTGCCAACATGAGACCTGCTCACCTCTACGCTGGCCCAGCCAGACGTCATCCTGTGCCTCTGTCCCCATGTCTCTAAGTCACCATGTCATAGGTTCTGACTCTTCCTCAACTTGTAATTTCCCAAGGGAGGGCTGCCGTCAGCCTTTCCTATTGATGCGGCTGGAGTAGGGCACACTTGTGTTCTCCACGAGCTTGTTCCTTCCACCGTCTTCAGCGGCTGAGGAAGAGGCTGTCTGGAACCCCTCTCTCTCCCTCTCCTCCAGCACTAGCAAGCTCCATCATTTCCTTTTACAACAGAGGTCCTGACCTGTCCCCTCTCACTGTCTCCACTTCCTCTCTCTTGGCCTCCTGAGCCCTCTGCCCACAGCTGCCCATCAGCTGGGTTCATTGTTCCCACAGTGGGGTCTTAGAAACCTCAGCCCCTCCTTAATATGTTTCTGTGTATAATCCTCCAGTGACAACCCAGATCACTCTGAGTAAAAGACCAAGTCCTAACCATAAGGCTTGTGATCAGGCTTCCTTGAAGCCGGGAACTGTTCCGG